ACAACTTAACAGAAATTTAAAGTAGAATATGTATTATATTGATGTGGTTTGTCATAAACTTTTATTATAAATAGAAATATTAAATGAATGTGCATATGTATGTTTTTTATTTATATGCATATTTTTATCGAAATTTCCTTAAATTATAATATCGTAGATTTGGTTATAAATAATTATTCAACAAAAATGATTGATTGTATCAGAACTTGATAATAATTTGTCACATGACAAAAAAGCCAAGCATTTCTTTTTCTACCTATTTGCAAAATATGTCATAAAAATATATTTGATCTACTCATATACTCTTATAAAAACTCATTAAGAAAATTTATAAAATTACGACTATATTAAATTGACACTTACTACATTATAATCTACTCATACTGGATAATATTGGATTATCCACGATTATGAGCCATAATATTAAATATTAAAAAATTTATCAATCGCCTATCAATTAAGAGAATAAAATCATTTACAAAATATAAAACATCACTAGCTATAAACCCAACAAGTTATTTAATTAATAAAAATAGGTTTTATCAGAAATGAATATATTTTGAATATATTAAATATAAAATAAATTTATTAAAAAAGAAATCGTCTAAAAGTTTGTCTAAGAATTCAACCGTTTTGAAATTTACTTCGAATTTTTATTGTTTTCTAGAACTAAATGAATAAATTGTTAGATAAAAATATCTATATTGCAATATTTTATTGAATTCATAAAATAAATTTGATGAATCTAATTTTATACGGTAATTTATCAATATAACTTTAGTTTATTTTTTAACTTATGTTAAACATAATAATTCTTTTTAATTTAACATTAGCTTATATAAAATTTAATTAAACTCCATAAAAATTTAAATAAAAGTTTTTTGTTAAAATAAAAATATATTTTTGAGGACGTAGAATTTGTAAAGACGTACTTAATATAATCAATATTAATATCATATTCAGTAGATAAGAATATTTGAAGAAATATAGGATTGCATAAATAACGATGAATTTAATGAGAGCAATTAAAAATTTTTTAGAATTAATTTAAGCAGATATTTGCATACAAGTCTTTTAGTAATATATTAACCTCCTATTGGAAGTTCAATGATTGAGTTTAGAGTTTGAATAACTTTTTTAAATTGAGAATATTTAAAGTTAATTATTAATATTTCATGGAAATTTTATCTAATATATAGACCATGAAAATTTTTTTATTTATTTTCACTTTATGTTTTTTTATAACACTTTCATTATATTACATATGATTTATATATTTAAATTTTTAAATTGTATAAATGATTCAAAATATTAAATACATATAGTTGATTTTTTATTTTTCATTAAATGATATTGTTTGGAATTCCATCCATCAATATGATGGCAAATCAAGGTGGATGGATTAGACCGTACCATCGATTTAATGACAATGGGGGGGGGGGGGGGGGT